AACAAAATCTGAAAAGACACGTAAAAAAAGAAATTATCTAGGTCTGGGTTTTTTATTTTGTGTTTTTTTTTTTTCACATGGCTTCTCAAGTATTTAAAAATTCTCATACTACTTGAAATAAACTAAGAAACTGGATATGACTGACAGTTTGCTAATGTTATGGTTTATGAAGGAAAATTAGACCCATACTCAGAAAAAAGAAAGTCTTGCCACAACCCCAAAAGATCAGGCAGTAAGTGTACATTAAGTATTTTAAGTTAAAATGAGGTATTTAAGGGGAAATCTCCTTTTCTGAAAATGATTCTTCCCCTTTTTTGTTGTTGTTAACCAACTACCTGTCTCAGTGGCATGGTGAAAGGGCCTGCTGCTGTGTTCAGACTCTTCATAGATTCAGTGATAACAAGACAGCTAATCTTACATTTTAGGTTTTCTTTTCATCTCAGAACATATTCCTTTCTCTTCCTTTTTTCACTTCTATAAAAATGGTGTGTGCAGAGATATTTGGAGTCGGAAAGAGGCAGTGAGATCCTTGTGCAGAAACACGGGTAGGCAGTTTCAGGGCCAGGAAAAAGAGAATATTAAATGTTACGGCCGACTCCTAGGATATTTAACAGGATTTTGTATTGTTTTCCATATCTTGTTTTTTCATCAGTACACATAGGGCTATCAGCTTCTAGAAACAAGGTTAGGTCAGGGATTCAGATCAAGTTCATAAATGTTGTTTGGCTTCTGATGAGATTAGGTCCCTTTCAAATCTCTCTAAAGAAAATCAAAATATATTTATTACATTAAAGTATACGCAAAGATTGTTGTCCTAACTGAATAAGTATCACTTCTTCAGAGACAGAATTGAAGGTGTCAAGGCTTGTCCTTGTGCCTATTAGAATGTAAGCCTCAGGAGGTCAGGGAGTCTGCTGCCTACAGAGTTACCCCTAGCATCTAGTATCATGGGGGGCACATGGTTTGGAATCATTGTTTACTGAATGAATGAATGACTGAAATTTGTTTAGAGTGAGAAGATTTCATTTACCCTCTGCAGCAGGATGGAAACATTCCTTAGATGAAGCCTTTGGTGAACTTACCTACCAACCATTGACCTTAGGGCTGAACTCACTGGGAAGATCCTGTAAGCAGTGGTTGAGTCCTGCTTTCTGGCCAGGTATCTCTCCCACAATAAGAGAAACCTTGACATGTTGTGAGTCTGCTTGGTGTGAATTGTCACTATAGTCCAGTGACATGATAAAAATAAGTGTGTGTCATCCTGGAAAATTGAGAATCAGATTCTTTGTCCAAGTGACCACACCAAAGTACACAATCTCCTTTGGGTCAAGCCTGAGCAGCCAAATAGCTGATATTTTTCTCTTTGAGATCTTGACTTTAACAACAGATGTTATGTAATTGAGTAGAAGCCACCACCCCTGTATGATTATTTTCTCATCTGAGAGATGAAGGGTCAGAACATGGTGTCTGAGGCCTTTGATGCTTTTCAGAAACAACAGATGGAAGACTTCAGAGTTGAATAAAAAAAGAGCAATTTAATTTAGGCTGTGTGAAGACAAAGGATTTCAAAGGAATCAAAAAGTGATCAGATCCAAAAGCATATGACCAACATTTTACTTTGCCTTTAAAAGAACAGTGGAGTGGGAAGCTTGGTGGTAAACTTGGTTTTTCTGGGAATTAATATAGCTAAGTTATTACTATAAAAATAAGGCTAGTAAATTACCTAGTAGGCTTGTACTTTTCGAGCATGCTAGTTGGGAGAAGAAAACTCCCTGGAGAGGAGCCAGAATATTTAGTTAAAAGGATTTTAAAGATACGATGGAGGAGACTTGATCCCATACACTACTCAGGAAGCTTCACATTTTATATCGTGTTAGTGGGTAATTTTTTTGTAAAGGTAGGATACCTCTACTGAAATTGGTTTCTCTAGCTTTGTCCCCTTGACTTTTATGAGGCAATGCATTTTTCAGCATCCACACTGTGGGTTTAGTACTAGAATGTAGCAGCAGATTTGAAGCTAATTTGAAATCCCAAGTAGTAAATAGAGCCCGACCAATGATTTCCCTTTGTAGTATTTAATCTGAAATGTAAGGCTGACCATATAATTTAATGTCCAAACCAGGACCCTTCTGAAATAGGAAGTAGGGGTGTGGTAATATTTAAAATTATGCCCAACCCTGTCCCAGGATGTATGGTCATTTTACCCAGTGGAATTCAAAGTTGAATGTGCAGCAAATCACCTAGAGGGTTTGTTAAAACACAGATTGCCAACCTCCACTCCCAAAGTTTCATAGTTCAGTAGTTCTGGGGTCAAAAATTTGTGGATCTAACAAGTTCACTGGTGATGTTAGTGCATCTTGTCTGGGGACTACACTTTATGAACCACTGCTCTGCCTAAAAAGGCTTGGCACTCTTACGCTGATGATATAATTTGCATTTGAAAGAAATTCTTATTGTCCAATAGTCCTCTATTCGAAGCCTTCTGCAAGTGAGAGTACCCATAAGGAGGATGGCAGAATAAGCTTGTGTTGGCTTCAACCTCTTATCTCTGGACTGATGTGTTCTTGGTACTCCAGAGAGTGTTCATGCTGGGAAGTTGAGACAGCTCACTTGATACCAACCTAACTTTCAAGGCAATGCTGAAACCAAATGAAATAAAGGTGACTTCTGGATTCTTATCATAGAGACAGAGGCTTAGGAAACCTCGACACTCAAATTCACTTTAGAGGCAACAGTATTCCTTTGTCCAGCAGTTGACTCCAGAAGCATCTTTGATCTAATGGGAAATACCTTGACCCTGTTTTTTCCTTCCCTCCCTTCCTTTTTAAATTTTTCTGGTCAAGAATAATGGCATGCATAACTTTGTGGCAATAATATGGTGGTTTTGCTTGTTAAGCATTTATTCATTATTTTGTCCTATTATTAAATGGCTTAGACTGTAGACAGTGTTATTAGTAAGGCAAATATGAATGTGGGGTTCAGCTGTAGATCGGTGCTTCTCAGAGTAGGGACCCCCAGATAAGCAGCATCAGCTGGGAATTTTACGTCAGGGAATGGGACTCAGGGAGCTTGGTGGCCTGACCTCGTAGAGGGTAGTTACTTAGTACCTTGCTGTCTAGTGTACCCATTAGCTATTTTAAAGTGGTCCCCTTCTCCCTCCCCCCAATTCTCCTGACTTTGAGAAACTTTTTTTCTATAGCTGCCTCTTCCCCGCAAGTTGTATTCTGTTTAAAGATGTCAGGCATAATTGTAATTTATGTTTCAAGTATAACTTGCCCCCTAATATATGTGCCTGATACTGGATGGAACATTCTTATAGCCAGAGAATTATAAATACTATTCTACAAATATATGATTGAGGATGAAAGTAGTTGAAGAGGCTTTTAGGACCTGCTGATGGATAATTTGGTGGGGGAGGGTGGAGGGGAGGGAGCAGGTGTGGCAGTGGTAAGATTGGATTGATTGAAACTCTGTGGCCTCAGGACCTGCCATGAATAGAGTTCAAGTGCCTTCCATCTGCTCAGAGGGCTCAGGCTCATGGTGAGATCAGCTGGGTGGCGTTGGTCAGGATAGTTACATCCTCTCTACCTGCTTCCTTAAGTGGGAAAGGGGCAGTATAACATTTCAGCAAATAGTAATTCTTTCTCCATACCTTGTCTACTTCCCCTTATTGGGTCTTCATGCTTTGAGTATCTTGGTGTCCCCTCATTTCTTCCTTACCACACTATAATAATGGACATGATAACTTTGAGTTTTGTGTCTATTACCAGTTGTGTATGTGTGTGCATACTATTATATATGTATTTATAATAGATTTTATTGAAGTAATAAAATTTGCTCAAAATTCATAAAAATATATTTGGTATTTGTGGTGAGTACATTACATATTTTTTTAACTTATCAGCGATATATGTTTTCTTTAGTGCTGAAAACTTTGTTTCAAGTCTGTTTTAACAAGATGAATATGTAAAGTACAATGTGTATGGGGGGAATTTATTTTTTTACCAGTGTGGTTTTTGTTTGTTTTTTTTTTTTTAAGAGGTGGGGAGGGGCAGTGGGAGAGGATGAGAGAGAATCTTAAGCAGGCTCCATGGAGCCTGATGTGGGGCTCGATCTTAAGATCCTGAGATCATGACCAGAGCCAAAATCAAGAATTGGATGCTTAACCGGCTGTGCCACCCAGGTGCGCCCACCCCCCAAGTGTGATTTTTTTTTTGATTCATTTTCTCCATAGCATTAGGTGTACTTTCTTAAAAATATATTTCTGGACTAGATGAATTGCATGAGATTGGTTGAATATGCTTACAGTTTGGATCTGTGTTAATTCCCCTGTGTGTAATTTGAAATTCATAATGTTTAAAGTATTTGAAATAATTTAGCTGATTAGTCATAGACCATAATAAGTAGCATATTAACTAAAATTTTTGCTACGCATAGGAGAGATGTTTTTGCAGCTTATAATTCTCTTTCAAGGCAAATAAATATCTTACTAGGTTATTATGAGGGTTAAGTTATCCCAATAACAACAAAGATAAAAGCTTGTACATATATGTATATATGTAATAACTGTATATCTAAGCACACATGCAACTGTAAACAAAAGCATTCACACTAACTTATAAGTATTGTAATAATTGATTTTATAGTTTTTAGAGGCAGTTTCGGTACACACAAACTTATGCAATGTTTGTCCTGGAGAAACACCTTTTTGGCATTTTCTTTGATATCTCTTCTTCACAGATATAATTGGAATTATAGCCACAATTGGAAATCCTAAGTAGTCATCAATGATAAAATTTCAGATTTGGATCCCAAACTGAGTGTGAGCAAATATAATCCCATAGCAATCAATTATAGTTCTCAAACAAAAAGTGACTTACTGAGAATGGGTATCATCCAGTGTTGCCAGGCACTGTTGCTGCCCAGCTCACAGATCCTTTCTGTTCTCCTACACCATTCACACATGCTCACATGCTCTCACGGTAAAGCTGTCTCCTTACCTGCCTGTTGGCCCGCGTCTGTGAGTTAAACAGCATTCCTTTCAGAATGTCTCAGTGTACACTCCAGATTAAGACTGTTAAGAGTTCCTGCTCGTCTTCAAGAACAGATGAAAATCAGGAACTTGACAGAAACCACAGAATAATCGGTCTCCTGTCACTGCTCAGTTGGTCTGTCAGAGCTTACTCAAGGCTGGGAAATGGAAATGATGTTTGGATCTCTCTGGGTTTCAGGCTGGCCTCTGTGCTAGCTACTTCTTTTCCTTCAGTGGTCCAAAAAAAGCTTGGCTTCCCCCCTACCCCTCCGCCTTGAAATTTTCTACTTTTTTCAACATCACCACATCATTTGGCAAATGAACAGCCAGGCAACAATCTAAAGAAGTTTTCTTTGTAAACTTGTAAACTCCGCATCAACTTGTGAAGGTACAAGGTGGAGAATGGACAGGGGGTAAGTGAGGCAGGCAAAACGTGGTTCTGTCTGAAAGCCCCTTCCAGGAGGAAACAGTCAGTGGCCGCCCAGGGTAATGCACTGTTCACAAATTGGGTGGGAATTGGGGCTGCCTGGAAGTGCAGAATTAGCATTTGAGTAAATAAGCATTTTGACATCAGCGGCCACATCTGTTAGATAAGAGGTGCTGCTATTGTCCCTTTTTTTCCACATTAACTTTTCCATATTTGAGTATTACTGACAAATAGATTGTGAGTAGTACTTCCGTTAAACTCATCATTTGTTCACCGTTTGCTTAGTTTATGCTGCTTATGTTACTGTTTTAAAAGCAAGAGGCCGGGGCGCCTGGGTGGCTCAGTTGGTTAAGCGACTGCCTTCGGCTCAGGTCATGATCCTGGAGTCCCTGGATCGAGTCCCGCATTGGGCTCCCTGCTTGGCAGAAAGTCTGCTTCTCTCTCTGACCCTCCCCCCTCTCATGTGCTCTCTCTCATTCTCTCTGTCTCAAATAAATAAATAAAATAAAATAAAAATAAAGCAAGAGGCGGGAGCTGCTTCCTATTTTTATTTAGTTGACGTTATATAGTATAGTTTGTCGTGTCCTGAAGAGTGTTCCAGTATCTCTCCTAGGGAGTAAGGGTGTGCAGTTAGATTTGGAAACATCAGAATTGGGCTACCAAGGCCATGTCAAAGTGTGTGACTCAGAACCAGATTAAGAAAGAAAGAAAACCACGCGCTCTGCACATACACAACTGGTAATGGACACAAAAACCTAAAGTTATCATGTCCATTATAGTGTGGTAAGGAAGAAATGAGGGGACACCAAGATACTCAAAGCATGAAGACCCAATATAAGGGCTCCTACATTTCAGGTGTGTTCACTCAGGTTGTCCCATTGCCAAATTACGGGCTCATGGTTTAACTCCTGAAGTTCGGTTTGATTTAAAAACATATACGTGAGCAGTTACAGTAATTGTTTGTACTTATTTATGTGCTTATGATAAACCAGGTGCTGTTGTAGATACTTTCTGTGTACCTACTATGTGTTGGGCAGTGTTCTAGATCCTGGAGATGGAGCTGTGACCCTGTCAGACCCAAGTCTCTTCCTTCGTGAAGCACATTTTCTTATTTTGTGCCTCACTCACAAACTTAATAGTCACTATTGATCCTTAATACTCCGAGCAGAGGCCCCAAGGGACCCATGGATGGTTTTAGGTTTCTGGCTTTGGTCTATGTGAGGGATCCATTTTTCCTTGCTCCCCAGGGCCCACGTGGTCCTTGCTGCTGCCCAGACCGATGGGGCTCAGAACACCTGTGTGCACGCAGTCTCCAGGCTTGTTGGCTTCGGCTGCAGGGTGATGTGGTAGGGAAATACATGTAGGTAAGGACTAGCCTTCAGAGCCTGGTTATTACCGGGCACACTACAGAGTCCTTCAGATGTAAACATGCTGATTAAATGGATGATTTGGCATTCACAGTCTCTTAGCTGCAACTCTCAAGACTTCCTTGATTTATGCTGGAGGCACTGTTTATTCTCATGGTCTCAGAAGCACCCATTAATTGTCCCCATGCTCTCCTGTGCTTCTTGCATTCACCGTGGAGTGCTCTACATACCTGTTACTGAGTGTGACTGGGAGGAAATTAAGTTAAATTGGAGCTGCTTGTTTTCCTCCTGGTACCAGGTCTTGCTAAGTCCAAGGCCAAAAAGATAGCCCTATATGAGTGGTCATGTGATGGTTGGTAGTCTAGAGAAGTGAGGCAGATCCTATCTGAGACTCCCAAGGATTAAGGAATTGTAGAGAGCTCATGGCCCACGAAGGGCTCAGCTGCCACTTGGCCAGAGGTTGTCAGGGTCCAATGGATGAGCCAGTGTAATCAGAAACTTATTTGTTGATTGTGTGCACTGTTTTGAACACTTGATGTGTTTAAAGTCACTGAGTTCTCACACCTCCGTGAGCTACTCTCCCCCCCGCCACCTTTTTTCTTAATAGATAGAGGATATCTATCTCTAGATAGAGGAAACTGAGGCACAGAGTTAAGTTAGGCCAGACTTTTTAGAGCTGGGATTTGGAGGCTGGCAGAGTAGCTGTTGGAGTCTGTGCTCTTGACTGTACTTTCATGTCTCTCCTGATTTTGCATGCCCTTATCTAAATCAAAGAGTTTTCCAGATTAATATAAGCCTAATGTCTGGTGGGCCCAAGCAAAACCTGACTATGCACCGTATTTGGCTTGCAGGAAGCCAGTCTGGGGCATCTGTTCGTAATGATATTGGCAGGTGGCAGGGCAAAGATGGCAAGCTGTGGACTCAAGGTCTACTCATTGCCAAAGATTGGATCAGAACCCGGATATACACACTCAACTAGGAAGCACTTTCTTTGTAGTAGACTGTTTTACAGCCAATTCACAAATGAATCATTTGAGGGATAATTATGCCTTTTCACAGATGAGAAAATACAGCCTCCGAAAACTTAAGTTGTCCAAGCTAGGGGGTGACGGGACTGGACTTTGGAGCAGGCCTTTAGAGCCAGAGTTTAGGATTTCCTTCTGCAGTCCTGTAGGTGTTTCCTAGAACCAAATGAATACTGAGTACGGATTTGTTAATCTGTGAAGCATCTGAGAGTCGGGTACACTGGGACATTATATGCTGGGAACACAGGAAAAGTGTATTTTCTCGTCAGAACCTGCCGATGGTATGCACACAGAATTTTAGTGTGAGATGAGGAATGTACAGAGAGTGATGGTGGGCAGATGAAGTGGTGCATGTAGTAAGGATGGCAGGGGCCAGGGCAAGTGGTAGAGGCAGAGGTGAAGGCTGTATTTGCTTTGGAATTGGCGGAAGATGAACGTGTAAGTCTCCCAGAAGAACTTGGTGAATTATCTGTTCATCTTGTGTTCTTAAGACTGCATACCTCAAGGTAGATTATCTGCCTTCTTAGAGTTTTTGGCCATAGGACCTTACTGACAGGGCAGTTAGGCCAGGTCTTGTGATTCATCTTTCCCTGCTTGAGAGACTTTGAAAGGAGACACCTGGAGCCGCTACCTCTTCCCCCTAGGCCTCTGGATGGTCCTCTCTGCCCTCTGCTTCCCTAAGAGCTCTGAGCAGTTCTAACTCTTCTGAAATCCTTATTTATAGACCTGACTGGCCATCAACATCACCTGGGGAGCTTCAAAAATGCAAATTCCAAGACCCTGCTTCAAAGGAACCTAATCTGAATCCTTGTGTTTTTGGCTCAGGAATCTTTTTTTTTTTTTTTTTTTTTTAATGGGGTTGGGGGAGGTGTGCTTAGAGGGAGAGAGAATCTCAGGCAGACCCCCTGCTCACTGGGGAGCCCAACACTATGTGGGGCTCCGTCCAATGACCCTGAAATCATGATCTGAGCCGAAACCAAGAGTTGGACGCTTAACCAACTGAGCTGCCCAGGTGCCCCAGGAAATCTATATTTCCAGATGTGTTCAGGTAATTGTGAAACGTGGCCATGTGTGAGCATCCCTGCCTTCCTGTTTTGGAGCTTCTGATTTTATAACATTTGGAGGAATTTTCATCTTCTGGGCAGATGCCCTACCTCCCAGCCCTTTTTGTCTGTTTAGCTCACTCCAGATGCCAGGGCACCTCATCAGTTGCTGCTCTAGCTTTGGACACCCATGCAGACATGTGGCTTGAGAACAGAAATTTAATGATCAGAGTACCAGTAAGGTGGTGGTAATTACGAGAGAATTCAGACACCTAGTGAGAGAGACTAGAGCAGCCAAAGATTAGGTGAAACCCGAGGAAGAAAGAGGATTCAAAGGCACTTATGCAACAAAAACAATGATGTTTGACTTTTCCTGAGGCCTTTAGTTTTATATTTTAGATCAATTCTCTCATCAGTTTTTTTCCCCCACTGGATTCAAATGAACGAGTAAATCTGTTTTTATACTGTCTGCCATTACTCCCACTTCTTAGCAGAAAAGTCTTAGGAGTGGAGTCTTCCTTTTTTTTTTTTATAACCCTCACTGTGTCATCCATGTTTTGAACACTGGCTTCAGCTGTCCCAGTGTGTGGAGCTTATGGAAACACAGGCATATTTGTGGGTGACTCAGATACATTTCAATGCAGGATTGCAAATTGGCCCTGTCACCATTTTGTATTTCTTTGAGGTATATGCTGGGCGTTTTGTGGATATGCTTAAATATGAAGATTATCTTTTTTTTTTAATGTGAAGATTATCTTGTACATATTTTTCTGTCTTGCATTTGGAAATAAATGTCTTATTAATGTTTGCAAAATCATTTTATCCTGACCAACTATTGATCAGATCTTCATGTATTTTTAAAATGAAATATTTTGTTATGTTTAGCAACACACCTAAGCTTTACTCAACACTAGATACCAGACTCAATATAAAATTAATAGTAAAATAATCATATTAATAATAGTAAATAAATAGGTAGAGGTCGTGTTCCCTGCTTTCAGGATTTACTATCAAAAAAAGAAATGAGGGATGCTTGGGTGGCTCAGTCAGTTGAGCGTCCAACTTTTGGTTTTGGCTGAGGTCATGATCTCAGGATCATGGGATCGAGCCCCATGACAGGCTCTGAACTCAGCATGGAGTCTGCTTGAGATTCTCTCTCTTCCTCTGCCCCTTCACCATTCCTGTGTGT